TTGGACACACACTGTCCGGGCCCGCTGCTTTCCTTGGACGAAGCCTCCTCAGCTCTCTGCTCACCTGATCCTTGGTGATGGTGGTGGGGATGGGGGTTGAACTGTCCATGGGTGTGGAGGGTAGAGTTGGTTGGCAGTCTAAAGCACCCAGTATACTCGACGCACTCGAGCTGTCGCGTGACAACGTGACGTCAAAATGACGTAGATCTCGCGTGTCGCACACCACTTTTTTTTTTTCAGCTGGAAACAGGAAGATGGACGATTGGTACGATCCTTCAATAAAGGAGCACAGAGACGCCGGATGAATGTTGGAATAGAGGAGGACATATGCTGGAATATTTGGAAGAACCTCCGCGACTGATTTGGAAAGAAAAAAAAAAAAAAAAACCTTTTCTTCTTCTAGTGCGTAGAAATAGCAACGTCAGTAGCCTTGGTCTGCGTCGAGTATACCGGACGCTTAAGGCTTGAGGAAAGGCTACCGAGTTTGCTATTTCTACGCACTAGAAGAAGAAAAAGTTTTTTTTTTTTTTTTTTTCCAAATCGGTCGCGGAGGTTCTTCCAACATTCATGGCGATTTCTCGCCATGAATTCCGGCGTCTCTGTGCTCCTTTATTGAAGGATCGTACAGATCGTCCATCTTCCTGTTTCTTTAAGGTGCTGGAATTGGGGGAGGTGATCGACAGGGTGGGGGTGTGACGTGGGCCGTCGCTGGTAGTGGGAGCTGGAGTATCAAACCTGTTAAAAAAACAGGTTTAGCTTGTTTGCTCTCCCAGCATCCCCCTCTCCTGTGACGCTGCCCTTCTTCTTGCAGCCAGTGATGGTTTTCATGCCATCCCAGACCTCCCTCATGTTATTATGCTGCAGCTTCTGTTCTACCTTCTGTTGCGATATTCTGTGATTTATACTCTTTATATTTACCTGTATGATTATGAACTAGAATAGAAATATGATTACTTGTGCTTACATTGACTATGCTTACATTGATAAAGGGCTGTTAAGGGAATACTAATAACAGAAATAAAGTAATGAATATTAGATGTTTGTATGATGTGTTATAGAATTGAAACTTACAAATGAATATGAATAGCAGACACAGTATAAGGGAGAAGAGTGTGGGTAGTTGAAGATATAACATGACATTCTTTGGGAGAGATAGCGGTAAACACGGCCTCCGGTGTCAGTGTCAGGAGCTCGTAAAAAACAATGATAGAACACACGACGGACTCCCTCCAGTCGTAAAAAACAACTTCATATCTGGAAGTGAGAGTACAAAGGGTAAACATAGGTTTGATTAATATGCGCATAGGGTGAGATAATACGTCACTGAATGTCAGAAAAGAGGCCGCTTTCTGTTTTTAATGAGTTCCAGGTTGTGGCGACCCCATCAACACCATCCGTGGAGTCCAGATACCAAGGGGACAAGGGGTGGAGATTATACCATCTTGTGCTATGTGTGTTATCTGCAAAAATATAAGAACTGATGTTAGGAACAAGAGGTTGCTCAGACTTCGTGAACTGGCAGACCTTGTGCATGTCAGGTTAATCGTAGTTGAACCCAGAGCTCTGTTACTTTTGTACAATATACTGGTGTTAAAATAAAGCTGATTTTTATACTCCAAAATCCTTCTCCTATCGCTTCATTAAACGAACGTGCGAGGAATGAGTTTTTGAAATACAGAGATTCCTCAACACTTCCTTCAGACTTTCCCAGTGGGGGCAGAGGAGTGGCAGTGTAGGCTTCCCTCACATTGGCATACAGGAGGTCTAATGTCCTGTTCTTCCTGGTGGTGCAGCTTACAAACTTGTGATAGTCTGGCAGTGTGGAGTCCAGTGTGACGTGGTTGAAATCCCCGGATTCATCACCGGAGATGGCGATGAATGCGTCTGGATGTTGAGTTTGCAGTCTCGCGATGGTGGACTGTGATATGTCACACGCTGTCTCTGTGTGCACACGCAGAGGGACGTAAACAAAAACAGCAATGGCGTGGGAGAACTCTCTAGGCATGTAGTACGGTCTGAGACCTACCGCCAGCAACTCGATGTCTCTGTTGCACACGATCTCCTTCACCATAACATGCCCCTGGTTGCACCATCTGTTGTTGATAAACAGTGCGAGTCCCCCTCCTTTGCTTTTACCGCTGCGTCCACAGTCCTGGTCCGCTCTCACTGTAGTGAATCCAGGTAGATCCACATTAGCGTCCGGGGTGTTCTGGGTTAGCCAGGTTTCAGAGAGGCAAAGTAAACTGCACTCCCTGAATGTCTTGTCCATCCTCACAAGGGCAGCCAGCTCGTCGGTGTTGTTGGTCAGACAGTTCACATTCCCCATAACTATCGACGGAACCAAGGGCTTGTACTTCCACTGCTTAGCCGCTAGCCTAGCCTTCACCTTCGCTCCGGCTCTGTAGCCTCGGCGCCTCCTCCTCAGCTCCTCAGGTATGGGGTGGAAAATGCCAGCCCGTCCCATTGTTTGTAGTGAAAGCAGCTTCTCCCTTGAATAAACAAGATGTCCACCGCTATGTTGTCCGTAAAAAGTCATTGTATCTATAGGATATATAGAGTTCTTCACAGATAGTGTTATATAAAGAGTTAAAAGTTTACAAAAACACACATAAGTTACTAAAAACAACACAACATGCACGGAGCTACTGGATAAGCATCCTGCTCGCGCCGGTGTGACAGTTTAACTGGAGTTGAATTAACTGGTGATACTGAGGCAGATGTGCGTAGGCGTGGCTTCTTAGGACCCCTTATTGCCGAACCAGGAAATAAAGATTCTGACTACTTCTATGACATTCATTTGTTGGTGACTTTTAAAACACTGCAATAGAAACACTTTGCTGGAACAATAATGTTGGTGTCTGCTCCTCACTATGGACCTATTATTCGCTGTCATTGTGACATTAACAACTGCTGATCGCTACCGTTGTTTTCAGTTCTTTCCCGAGTATACATCTAAGACTCCTTTGGATATCATATATAGTTTTCATACAATAGCTTTACGATACATCTTTCTCACTAACTATTTTAAATAATTTAAACACACCAAAATTAAATTGTGTAGGCCTATAAAGGCAACCACACGCTCGTACTAGTGTAAAACCACATTAACGGAGTAGCTCGAGTTTGGATTAACAGGTGATATTCTCCTGAGTGAGACTGGTTGCGATGATGAGCTCAAAGCTCGTAGTTTCTGATGTGATAAAAAAAAACCTTCACAAAAACGTCTCCGGACATCTCTATAATGAATATTCATTCAAGTTTATGCGCACCAAGCAGTGTGGAGAACTGTGTCAGCTGTGGCAGAGTGCACATTCATTCATGCTACACTATCTGTATTTACTGACGATTTTTTAATACTAAAATCTAGACGTTTCGCTCACTCATCCCAATAGTCTACAAAATTCAGTCAACATGTTTTCTGGAATGTCACAACTCTGTGGATTTGAATAAATTGTGTTCTGCTGGGCATCCAACTTCTGCCCATATTTGCCAAATTAATTACAATATCTAATTTGGTTGAAAGACTTTGCTGACATGTAAAGAAAATAAATAAAAGATAAAAGTTTAGATAAACTTTAACGTGATCAATGGTAGACAGACGTTGCATCACAAGTTAATCTGATCATATAATGCTTTGCCACAACTCTACTTCAAGATGGTATTAAACATATACCGACTGTTTCTATATATAATACCACAATTCTACCACATTTTATAATCTCTGTCCCATTTATTCAAAATCCTACAAAGTTGTTACATGTGAATCGGATTTGTATAGTGTAGACCCTCTACTGATTAAAGTTTTAACATTATCCAATTTCTGTTCCTATTGCAAAATAAGATTTGACAGTTGTCTAACTTGGAAGAAAGAGTGTGCTGTTGTGTATATAATATTGTGATTGGTGAGATTAAAAGTGAAGACGCGACATGATCGATGGTAAAATGTTGTAGGCTATCACCTGTTGATCTGGGCGTATCATGCTTTGCCACAGCTGACTCCACAATGCATTAAACATACTGCAGACTGTATGTTTCCTTACAGACTGTGTGACAGTATAAACTCTTCTAAAATAGACTTGACATCAGATTAATAAGGATTCGTAAAACGACAGCAAAGACATTTTCTGAATTACTTATTGACATTTGCAGTGTTTGGAACAGGCATCGACACAGTCACCTACTGTGTTATTCTTTTCAAGCGTCAGGAGATCTCCATCGCAAATAAAATTAATTCAAACTCCAGGTAACTCCTTTAATCTTATTTGAAATCAGAACTGGAGTGTTACAGTGTTACGGATTTCATTCTGGTTGGTTAAAATGATAAAAAGAAGTAAATTCAGCCAGTATTTCTAGTGTACAAATCTGCAGCAATGCTCAGGAATATAACCAGTTCATTCAACCTGGTCACTGTCACACCGGCGCCACAAGTAAGGAAGTAAGAGGCTCATTCTAAGGTAACAAAAACATAACAATTATTATTTTCAGAAGATTATACACAAATGAAAACATATTTACACATATTATATTTCATCTCTACTGTTGTTAAATTTTCTGTTAAAGCAGTTACTGTCCATACTGATGTTGTAAATGTTTGATGAAAATAATGATTGAAATTGAAAATGAAACTGTGTATCTTATTTTATTCAATTTATTTTATTATTATTATTTTATATTTTATCGGAAATTACGTAATATGTTTGCAATCTAACGGAACACTTATACAAAAAACAAGAATAATATAAACCAGAGTATTTAAGATAATATATAATATTATATATAATGGCTCTGTTATAAACAATTCAAGTTTAAACCTTATATATACTGTCAATGGTTTAAAAGGGACAACTTCCGTTTTAAGTGTTGAGAAGAGTTCCCCCAACCATTTGTATAATATACTGTCAGTGGTACAATCCAGAACACAGTCTATTTAGTGCATTGACAGTATATTCCGTGTGAGATGACGCCAGCGGTCACATGACCCTCGTCATGTTTGTTTCTTACTCCAGCTCAGCTGATCAGCGCAGTGTCGATGTAAGGAAGTAATTGAGTTGAACTGACTCCCTGCGCTTCATGAATTGATGCAGCAAACCGCCCAACAGTGTTACCAAGTCAGATATAGAAAACACAGCTTGTAAAGATGCTTTGGTTTGAGGGTTCAATTCCTGACGCCATCAATTCGGCTAAACAGCGGAGCTGCGTCTTTGTCGTTGTCATTACAGGTAACGTTATGTATGTGTGTGTGTATGTGACGATTAGCCAGCTCGCTAACGCTAGCCTGAACAGGTAGCGAGTGATAACGAAGCAAAAGCGCTAGCGTGCTAGCCAGCTAGCTAGCCGTGGTAGTTGTACAAAGCTATTAGCCAGATAGTATAGACTACCAGCTCTTCCGTCATTTAGTGCCATTACGTACATTTGAGGAAAATGACCCACCGAGAGCCAAAAAGGCATTCGGTGACCTGAATATGATGTAAAATGCCGTGCTAACTAGTAGCGTTAGTGTTGGTTCCATTGACAATATATATACGGGTGGTTCAAGTACCTTTACAACAGAAACTGGTAAAGCTAACCAGATTAACTTCACGCTAGAGTAGGACTGCTACCGTCCCGTATAATACGGGCTCGTCCCATACTGAAAAATAAAATACAGTGTCCCTTACTGAATCAATACGGTATACGATTTGTCCCGTATTTTCGTGTACCACTACCCTTATGCATACCCACAGTTTTCACACACTTGGTATGAAATCATTAAACCAAAATAGTTTCACAGGACATAAGTTAGTGGAGTAAGTATTAAATGAGAATGTCACTCAGCGCCGTCCTGGTGCTGGGACTGTAGAAAATGTATTCTCGTACATTTAATGTACGACACAATGTAGGTGAAAACCTGCAGCTCAAGTCCGCCCCTATAAAGAAATAAGCTATCAGAATACAGATCTGACTGGCAGTCCACGAGTGGTGTCAGTGGAGTATTGTATTGTATGTAACTGTATTTTCTGTCTCCTGTGGTGGACTGTCCGACCTGAAGCAACATTCAGCAGGAGACCTACAGTACATCCGAGCAGCACAAGGGCAGAGGATACAAAGAGACGACTTTGAAACTGATGAATTGATACATAAATAGCATAAGTTGGTGCATTAAAAAAAATCACCAGAACGCAGGAAATAAAGTGTCTTACAGTCAAAATCTTAAAGGGGAGGACGTGGGTAGTGTAGGTATCAGATGTACTTAGCCTTGCAGATGTGCCTGGAGTCCTGCATTTACAGATGATGTAACACATATATGGCCATTACTACACTGACAAACAGAGATTTTAGATAACTTAACTAAGATAAGCAAGTGTCGCCAAACTTTTGGTTATTGAAGTTACCTTAGCTAATAGTGAGAAGTAGGGAATTCTTATATAGAAAAATAAAATTATGCATTGCGACACATTGTTTTTTAAAAGCTGATCATAGAAGTAGATAACGAGTGAGCCATCTAGTTTCCTTCTCATCTGTATTGAGAGCTGCAAATACCTCCTGCCCAATCGGTACTGCAGCGTAAACACATGGTATCCGTTCACTTTCTGACACACAATATGTAGAATTCTTTTCCAGACTAAAGGTGGCAACTCTATGTTAGAGAGACCTCAATAAACAATGGTGGAATGGGGTTACGTCTGTGACAGTATTAGCAGTGGTGGTTTTACTATGTAGCTATGTACTGTAGCTTTACTGTAGTTTTACTATTGCAGCTTTCTAGAAAGTATCCAACGTTTGATAGGATGGTGTAATGTATTAACAGTGAGCTGCTACTAAATGTCTCATCAGTGTCACTTTCTCTGTTCTCAGGGCAAGATGAACAGTCAGCACAGCTGATGTCCAGCTGGGAGGATGACAAAGTCTCAGAAGCAGCACAGAACAGTTGTGTGGCCATCAAAGTTGATGCCAAGAGGTACCATTTAGTTAAATCAGAATCAGAATCAGAAATACTTTAATAATCCCAGGGGGAAATGCACACTGCATTGAATTGGATATTAGTTGCAAGGGATTTAACTATCTTAAAGATATTTCCATAAGTGAACACTGTCTCATATAAGCAAAATATGGTGTCCCACAGCTCTTATAATTATTATAATAATTATTATTGTGTGTGTATATATGTGTGTGTGTGTGTGTGTGTGTGAGTATATGTATATATTTGTATAAGTTTTTTTTTGAGCAAGTAATTTGGCATTTTGTAAGTAATTCTATGAAGTTGAGACAGATTACCAAATTAAGTTTGTTTAGGCTAAAGAATTAAGATTATTCAAATATGACCATGAGGCTGTTCTCGGCAGACAGATCATGGACAATGAACTTGGCATTTCACAATACCCACTGCTAGCACAGTTAAAGCTGCACACAGAGTTTATATTCATTCTTCGTTCTAATGTTGGTTAACATAAATGGCATTCTTTGGCCTTTAATAATTATTAATACCACCAAATAATACACTAAGGTGGTCAGGCTGGGAACCCATAGGTTTAAGTTAAGTTATCCTTTATTAATCCTCATAGGGGAATTCATTATTAGTTTGACAGGTGTTTGATGTAAAAGATGTGTTATGTATAATGTGTTTTTTTTCAACAGTGAGACATGTGTCCAGTTCTCCCAGATCTGTATCTTTTTTGTTCTAAATATGGCACATTTCCTGTTGGGTTGAATTAGTGTGGGGCTACTACATAAAGTGAGTTAGAATTAGGAATTGATTGATAATTGACCTTGATAATCTGAGAGGAATTCTGTTAGATTACTCATTACATTGCCACATTAATTTGGCCAGTGCTTTTGTATTTTTTAGATCATGAACCTCCAATGTCAGACTGAATTACAAAGGAAATGTATATAAAAGAATGCACAAGACTAGATTAATCCATTAGATAAAATGCCTCAATCATTAAAAATATTATGTCTGGCAGAGGTTTACATGTTGGAGACATGATGACACTTGAGATGTCTCGAGCTGATCCTGAAGATCAGTGTTGCCAGGCCAACCCAGGAAACAGTGTCAGCTATAATGAAGCCAATCAAGTCTTTCATGAACTTTATTGTGTGTCACCTTAACCTGCTAGTGCTGAAGCACTACTGTCCTTAATGCCAGCATACAGTGGAAGCATTTGGCCGCATATGAGTGTGAATGTGAAAAATTATTTGGTTTTCCCCAGTGATTGACTCATCAGTTAGCTCAATGTAGAAAATATTAATATTATAAAGCTAACAGCTTCTTATTTCTTCTTCGGCGCTGACTGTCACTTTTACCGATTTAAATGACAAATGTCACCGGCAGAAAGTTTATGTGTTAGAAGCAGGAAAAATGGGCAAGCTAAGGATTTGAGTGACTTTCAATTCAATTCAATTCAATTTTATTTGTATAGCGCCAATTCATAACAGAAGTTATCTCAGGACACTTTTCAAATAGAGCAGGTCTAGACCGAACTCTTTAAAACTTTAATTACAGAGACCCAACAGTACCACCATGAGCAAGCACTTGGCGACAAGGGCAAGGAAAAACTACCTGTTAAAAGGCAGAAACCTAGGACAGATCCTCCGGCTCTAGGTGGGTGGTCGTCTGTCTTGACCAGTTGGGGTGAGAGAGAAAGACAGAGAGAGAGACTTTGACAAGGGTCTCTTTTGACTCTTTTGTGTCTTCTGTGAAGCTATTTATACTGCCTATGTGAATACTACTGTATTTAATTGCTGGAAGCTTGTTCCTTAACCTACCCTGTGTGAAGATCCAGTGGTGTGCATACCATCTAGTTTCTTTATTGGAGAGAATGGGATTCCTCTGGAGGTCATTGCTGGCACTGTGCCCGCTGAAGAACTGAAGAAAAGAATCAGCAGAGTTAAGCAGGTATGGGCACAAAATTGGATTGTATAACTTACAGTGAGGTCACTACTTTTTTTTTTTTTTTTTTCCAAACCTTCCACATGTTTTTTTTTCCACACAGTATCCCATAATGAAGAATCACATGCATATTTTTTACCCATCATGCTAGCAGTTCTGGAGATTGCAGTGTCAGGCTGGACAACTATTGGATGGATTTCTATGAAATTTGCTACACACATTCAGGCCTCCTTAGGATGAATTTTAATAATTTTGCTGATCCTCTGCTGTTCTCTTTAATTTAGCACCATTATCAGGTCGAAAACATAACGTAGGGCTGTCGCGGTAACTGTAAAGCCAGAATTACAATACCACACAGGAGAAAGTCACGTAGCCTCCGTCTCACTAGCTCTGGAAAAACTCCTGATTCGAAACAGACAGGTCCCATAGCAGACAGGTCCACTAATTATCCCCAATTCCCCACCAAATTGGCGTTTGCATCCCACGGCTCGCCAGTGTTCTGGGTTAAAGAGTGACCCTGTGGTGACTTTTTTTTCCGGCTGAAAGTCAGTAGTTAACAGGGTCACAGACCTAGGAGGCAGGCTCAACAACAAAAATGGCAATAATATCGCATACTGCCACATACTAGCCACATCATCACAGGGGAAATTCCTACACCGCGACAGCCCTACTCTAGTACTTTGGTTTATTACCAAACACCTGCATTATTATTGTATGCCGTACTTGGTTTACTTTAATACGTAATAGCAAATAGTGAGCATGTAAGCATTTAGCTGAAACCCCTGTTGTGCTACATACAGCCTCACAGAGCTGCTAGCATGCCTGTAGACTTTAGACAGGTGTCACTTTTCCACATACTGGCCTGGATGCTTTTTATGTACCTGGAGAATTAAATAGTATAGGGGGCAGATCAGGGCTTAATTGTCCCTAGCTGACACCAGGAACTTTGAGAACATAACACTGAATATTTGTATCTTTTTGTATCATCTGCTTACACCATATTCCTGCTCTGTCACAGTTTTAGTGTACACCAGAAACGCCTCAGAAGTATAGCGCTTGTTCTTCCACATCCATATTCATAATATGGTTTATTACTTCTACTGCCAACATTTGTGTTTTACAAGCATAACTACAGCAGTACAAAGTAGGAAAGAAAGAAAATATAAAATATAAATAAACTTAAATAATCCAAATCCAAAATATACAGAAAGCTGGAAATAAAAAAAAAGGTTGCTTCTTGGTGAGTTGTAAGAGAAGTAAAGTGAGAAGAAGCTATGTATGTACAATATCAAATCTCAAGTACTGCTAAGTGTCCATGATATTACAAATAATGTCCTATTATTGCACAATATGCGCCATAAATCCGAAAGTTGTAATGACTGTAATCCAGGCAGAGAAGGTAATCCAGAGAGATGGGGCCACCTCAGCACCCTATGCTGCTGTTGTCCATCAGTCCATGCCTGAGATTTGAGTTGTTAAGTTTGATTGCCATAGGAACGTTTGCAGAGGTGCAGCAAAGTTAACATAGTTGATGTCCCCAGTTATCACAACAAAGGCAACAACAACAAAGGAGATACGTAAACAACCAGGACGACAGCATGGGAAACTCTGTTGGCAAAAATTATGAACAGCAATTGGTTTAGTGTCTGGGCTGCACACATGTTCTTTAACTGTGATTTGACCAGGATTGCACCATTTGTTCTTAAGGAGAATAGTTAATCCCATGCATTCTTCCATCAATTCCAGTCCACCCATACCATCTTGAAACCACCGACAGACATGTTAGAGTCAGGGATGTCTTTGTTGTTCTCACAATACTCTATCTGACTTCTCCTCAGCGCTGTTAGCTCGTCCATTGTATAAGTCAGCAATCTCACGCTTCCCACTGTGATGGAAGGCAGACATGGCTTGTATTCTTCTGCTCCTGGCGTTTTCGCTCCTGCCTTACATCCCCTGTACTTCATCCTCAGCTCGTTGGGGATTTCAGGTCTCTCCCTGGCCAGTACACTCGATAGTCCATGGCTCAGTCAACGCTGTATCCTTGCACAAGGACAGTGACACGACTTAACAAAAATGTCCCTATGACATAGAACACGGTGAAGACAGCCCCCAAAAAAAGAAGTATTACTTTCATCAGTAAATATTGTGCAATTGGTCAAAAAAAGAACCGGCATATGAAGAGTGGGGAAAACAACAGCATCTGAGATGCTCCGGACACTAGCCGATCACACACACCAACTAGAATGGCAGTGTATTGTCTCCTTAGACCCTAACACCTGAGCTACTGAATCTACACGGTGTTATTTCTGGTAATTATCTTTCTCCCTGGTTTCTGACAGATGCATGCTCAGCAGATTGGAGGTGAGACAGTGTTTCCAGAGTCAAGTGCTCCTGTGGAGACCAGCCCATATGACAACATAGCCTCAGCTCCAGCCTCAGCCTCAGCCTCAGCCCCAGCTTCAGCCCCACCCGCTGCCTCAGCTCCAGCATTGTCTGTTCAGCCAGGAGTAGCAACAGAACCTGTACCAGTACCAGGAGCAGGGATAGGTAAGTGAGTCTGGATAACACACTCATCCACCAATCGGATGCAGCTTGGACCCTCATGGTCCTCTGGAGACAAGGGCCTGGTTCAGATCAAATTCAGTTTAATTAGTGCAGGGAAGTCCAAAATACTCAATTTTCTGAGGATAAAATATATTGAGGATAATTAAATGATGCTAAAATGACTATAATATAAATAGTATAATAATAATATAAAAGTGACTTTAATTTTAGAGCCAGGAGCTGAAGTGTTTAAGTCCAGTAAGTTAAATTAGACGTTTGTTATCAGTTTATGTTTTCAGCATAGGGGAGTAGAATGTACAAATATTTCAGCTATGTCTTCCTCAGTGTACAGTAGACATTCAGATTTAGGGCCTGATTATGCTCAAAAGAACTACTTGGTATGACATGTTGTCCAACCTTCAGAAAGCCAAAGTGTTTATAACTGTTCTAAACAGTCACACTGGAAGGCCGTCATTAAGAGGGGGGTAAATTGAGAGCAGGCAGTCTTATATAGGTTCAGTGAGGTTATACAGTTAATGGCATAACTACGGTAGATGAAACAGGATTTCATACAGTATTGAGTGGATATACAAATCAGTTGAGGATGGATAAACTTTGTTTGCTTTGTGCTGACAATAAATGAGTGCTTTCTGTTTCTATTCTACATTGCATCCCTCTCGAGCACAGTGGATTATAGCAGTCTTTCAGCCACAGGGACTCTTGCAGAGAATGCATTTTCAGAAAATGCTACTGAATGTTCTCAGAGTGAAGAAAACCTGGATGCTAAGGTGGAAAGGTAAGAGCACATATACATATCAATGTTCTAGGCAGAAAATATGATTTGTGTTGATGTGTTTTATCCTAAAAACTCAATCTCTGTGTAAGCCAAATGGTAAACAACTTTTAATTAAAGCTGCAAGCAGCGTTGGGCGGGACCTCGCACCCGGCGCTCGTCGGGGCGCGCCGCAAACGCGTCACGTGCGGTCGGGGTGCGCCGAGGCCACGCCGCGTGCCGTCGCAACAAGCGCGGACCGCAACGCGAATACGTCACGTAAATCTGCTCCAAATCAGCTCCGTATCGCCACGCAGCGCTTCCTTCCTGTTGCCAGTATGCTGTGCTTTCACTTTATCTGAATCTTGTCACGTAGACAAGTTCAGGGCGGGACTGTAATACGTAGGCTGATGTTATGAGGACGCGTTCAGGGCGAGACTGTTACAGAATATATGAAGTTTATTGGAAATTGGACATTGCACACTGAAGTTACGAGTACCGCTTAATGGAAAATCATCTGAATTCGACAAGGGGTCAGTGGCACGCAGTTTGACGTACAGTCACAAATAGCTCAATTCTTCATGTACACATTGTTTTTATAAGACTGTCCAATTTTGAAGTCGATTTGATAAGTCCCCTATTTATCTTGCAATTTAATAAGTGACTTCCAGCGGTTTCACACTATGCTCCACGAACAATACTCCCTAGGAAATATGGTTTTTAGATGTGTTTGTTCAAATACAGGACCACGGGCTTCAAAATGGCCACCTTTGACGGCACGCCACGGACACGCCCTTCAACGTACAGTCACAAAATGAAATGCGTTCATTCACCAGCATGTTGTGACTGTACTGAACAATTTTGAAGCAGATCCGATAGAACCTGTAGGAGGAGATCATTCAAATAGAAGCCCTGAAATGCAAAAATGACATCACAGTGTGACATTTGTTCAAAATGGCCAACTTTGAGGGCACGCCACTCACGTACAGTCACAAAATATAATGCTCATTCAGCACCATGTTTTGCAACGTACAGTCACAAAATAGAAGCCCTGAAAGCCAAAATGACATCACAGTGTGACATTTGTTAAAACAGCCCCATGTTGTGACTGGCCCCCTCAATAACAAAAATATAATTTACTCAGCCCCATGTTGTGAACCCCAATGAAGATCCAATAGAACCTGTAGGAGGAGATCATTCAAATAGAAGCCCAAAAATGCCAAAATGACATCACAGTGTGACATTTGTTCAAGATGGCCAACTTTGAGGGCACGCCACGGACACGCTTTTCAACGTACAGTCACCAAATATAATGCGTTCATTCAGCACCATGTTTTGACTGTACTGACCAATTTTGAAGCAGATCCCATAAATTCCCTAGGAGGAGTTAGTTCACAAAGAAGCCCAAAAGGTCAAAATGAGCACAAAATGGCTGCCAAAAGTGAAAACTTTAAATGAAAATAGCCGACTTCCTGTGGGATTTGAGGTATGGGTCCAAGAGGCTTTTTTGTACGCCCCGGCACATTATACATGCCTATTGAGTTTCGTACATATCGGTGAAACGTGGCGCCGGGGCTGATGTTTTTTTATCCTATAGGGGGCGCTACAAGCACGACAAACACGATTTTTGGTATGTGAGCTTCAGGCACCACTCTACACATGCCCTGTGAATTTCATATTCATAACTATTATGGTGTGTGCACAGTGATTTACCCTGCCACCAGAGTGCCACCTAGTGGCGTGATTTTTTTTCCTTTTTAGGGGAGCCTCAGGGAGCCATGGGGAAGCAGCGTACCAAGTTTCATCTTAATCACACATACCGTTGTAGAGATATAAACTCCTTCATTTTAAAGAGCGCCACCTTGTGGTGATGACCTGAAATTGTGCACGATGCCTAAGGAAGACATGGGGAACTATGGACCCAAGCTTGGTGTAAATCGGACATACCAATGTGGAGACATGGTCCACTTCCTTTTGTGACGAAAAATCAACAGGAAGTGCTAATTTTATAACTTCCTTATTTTTTAAAATATCAAAATTCTTCAAATTACTTTTGTTGTCAGGACGGTCCACAGATGCTACGTGCAAAATTTCGTGCGAATCGGACAAAGTGTGTAGGATGAACACCAAAAAGTGATTTATGGACATTTTGCGCTCTAGAAAAAAAAAATCTAGGCGGAAGTGGGCGTGGCCTATATGGGGAGGTTCAGCTCCATTCACCGAACGCGTGGATATAAGGTTTTTGAATGTGAGACAAACTATGCGGGAGTTATTAGCCTTTCAAAATCGGCCGAAACAGCGCCACCTAGTGTCCTACCTACTGGCTGATCTGCATGTGACGCATAGAATCTCTAAGTTAAATGAGGCTTGACAAATCTGCCAAATAAAATTGAGAGTTCGTAAATGCGCGGGGCTCAAAATCGCAGTTAAAGTCGCCTAGAAATAATAATAATAAACATAGCAAAAACAATAGAGACCTTCCAGTTCAGTGAACTGGCTCGGTCCCTAATAAAACATTTAAAGCCTCTAAACAGAATACAGATACTGAAAAGTGAGTTTACTCAGCTTCAATCAAATTTAGCTTCGAAAACATCAGATTTACTACAGAGCTGTATAGGTAGTGTACATGGAACAAAGTGACAACAAAGTTTTTTTACAGTCTTCACAAAAATGTTATAGCTTGAAAAGAGGTAAGATTAGCCTTGTTAATACTTACTTGAAGTTTTTCAATAAATCCCATCTCATTAAAGTAGAAAAGGGCTTCAACAACCTGTGATGCTGATAGACCGTGGCCATGTTAGATGGTTATAATTATGGTTATATTGTTGTACACGTTTAAAATATTTTATTTTCTGCTGATCCACTCTCACACTCAAGTCATGTTCATTCATTATTTCAAAGCTACGTTTTCCTCTTTGGTTAGGACAGGCTACTTTGAGTACCATACACACCATATACCATAAATGTGTTATTATATCATCATATTGTCCTGTCAGGTTAACCAAGAAACTAGAGGAGAGACGAGAGCAAAGGAAGACTGGAGAGGAAGAGGTAAGGAGAGAAACCTGTTTTAGGAATTAAATACTGTATATTTTCAATGGGTTATAATCACTCTGACCACGGGGGTCATGTCCCTGTCCAATATTTGTTATTGACCAGACACACTTACACACAGCGTCAACAGATCTCTTATCTAGGCAGATTTATCACTCGCAGTAATGCTAGGTTACAATCAAGTAAGAGACATTTTTTCAGGGATTTCAAAGTTAACTAAATTGGCCAGAGTGCACTGAGTGCTTTACCTGGTAGCTGCTGGGCGCTAATCAAAGTTACACAATGTTGCAAACTAAAGCATAGTTCAGCAAGCTGAACAACAAAATGAACACTAAAACAACAAACCATAGCAAAACATACAACTTCCAGGTTTGAAGTTCACAGCCAGTAATGTTTTCATACATCATTGAGCTGGAACAGTTAACCCTCGTTCAGAAAACATTCTGTAGTAAAATGCACACACATGTTACCATCAAACATAACTTTATCCACTTAGCTCTTCTGTCCCCTGAGGCTGGGAGCCAATTTTTGCTGGTTATCTGACATTTTATCAATTAGTTCAGGGCTCCAGACTAACTTTTTGCATTGGTTGCACTGGTGCGCCTAACTTTTTTGTTTTTAGGTGCAAAATTTAGGTGCACCCAAATTTTTCATTGCGTCGCCTTTAATGCCACAAGGTCACCTTTTTATCGCTCTCCATAACTTTCATATAATGTGAATGATTTTTAAACAAGAATAAGGTGTAGAGAAATGCTTGTCTTTATTTGAAGCACAATTATAAATAAAAAGAAAAATAAAGTGTTTAAAGTGCTTCACTGAGCTGAAGTTGAACATTTCAAACTAAAACACTAAGTAAAATAAAACATTTCCAAATAAAAGAGGACCTGATTACTGCTACCTGCCGCTGAAATACAGCTGGGAGAGGGGCCACTTTCTCTACACAGTTGTCACGGCATATTGTGTGTTTTTTAGACGTTATGTTTTTTTAAAGTTTCGATACGAAACGTTGTTGACCCGCTCACGAATGCACTATTTCCGGCCATATTCTGACCACACTCCTGACAGTACACGCAGTGCATTGCGTTACGTCCTTTGTTGTACCTCAGCCAGGGAAATTGTTTCAGCCAGTACTGTCTGAAGGAATATATTTTGACCTTTTTAATTTGGGCCTCGGAGGCGGGCTCTATCCCAGACTCGGTTGTCTCCTCCTCTGGTTCTGAGTCTGTCGCTAAGGGACCGGGGCTCGGCAATTTTTAAACACACACAACCAATCAGAGGCAAAGACCCGCCCGAGCTCTGTCTCTTATTGTTTTAGAACACGATATGATCCTACCATGAGTGTGTGAGTTCTGTCACAGGAGAACACAGAGAGATGATGCGCTTGCGAAATAAATGTATGTTTTCACCCGGGCAGCGTCAGGTATAATAAAATGATTAGTCGCACTCTTAAAAATTTTGGTCGCACTCTGGAGCCCTGAATTAGTTTTAAGCTGAGCAAATGCAGTCTCCAGGCTGGCCAGTTGAAGTTGTGAAAGCAGGTGTGTTTTGACTTCCTGACTTGCTGTTCTTATCGTCTAATCAGTGATTCTCAACCTAGAGGACGGGACCCCTAAAAGGGTTGCAAGATCATTTGCGAAGGTTGATAAATGATTGTGGAGAATAAAATAAAATAACATTGTGGCAAGCAGTCACACCAACGTGATTATTCTGGGCAGGCGTAGCTCTAGAAACAGTACCACTGGTCCAAACACCATTAAAACAGAACCACATTTGTTGAATAAAATATATTTAAATATTATTTTCATACATGTATATGTCCCTCCCGACCACGAAACTAACAGATTAAGAAGAGCGTTCCTCCTTAAAGCAACACCAGCGATTGTCTGACCAATGAGATTTTGGTTGGACGAGAGCATATTGACCAACTGACCAGTAGGTGTCAGCCCTAATTTACCAGGTAGTACAACTTCCCCACTTATTTCTCCAAGCAAAACTTCTTTTTTGTCTGGAAAAAGTAGTATAATTTAGAGTTGAGTAGTATCATAAAGCTCTGGCTGCCCACAGATGGCTACAATAACAGTGCCAATGTAGACAAGTTGAGATGTGAGAGTGAAGTTATTAGATTATTATTAAAACATTTGTACACCTATTCCCCTGCCTCTCTTCCCAGAGCTCACTGTCACCTCTCGAGGCACAAGTGGTATAACGAGACAGGGCATACTGCAACAAGCTGGTTAGCATGCAAATTTCCATAGATATCTCACATACATAGATTGTTGTATTGTATTTGACATTGCATCATGGATGTTACCTCTTCACATTCTGTTGATAATCCTACTTCCTTTTTTAAAATTTGGTTTTGTTTTTTAAATTTCTGAACTATAATTCTGACCATATCTTACACATTATTTCTTTAAATCTCAGCATCACTGACGCTTACTGTGTTGGTAAATGGACCTTGACCTGTATAGCGCCTTTATAGTCTTCTAATCACTCAGAGCGCTTCTACACTACTGTTCTGTGTAGCTGCTGGTTAATGTAAGACAATGTAATTACATGTACAAAATGCATATTGCTTTCACCTCTGTTGAAGACATGTTTCCTTTCCTCCCAGGTCTTGTGTCAAAGTTGGTTCCCCTCCAAATATTTTTTTTTTCCTCCATGGAATACTACGGGTTAGGGGTTACATGTCATCACAATTAAATGTACCAGCATCATGTAATTACTACTTGTGGAAAGATACAGCAGAAGTTACATACACCTGTAGTGTCACGTAAATAGTGAAAAAACTAAGAAGTACGGTGTTTGGACTTTATGGCCAGCAATACATTACCTGTGTGATGCCTGTGATTCAGAATGTGATCAAGAAGGAAATTGAGCGGCGGAAGGTGGGGAAGGACATGCAAGACTTTAAGAGGAAACAGGAAGAGGAGAAGACCAAGAGACTGCTTGAGGAAAGGAACCGAGAGAGGGCTGAGGAGAAGGCTGCCAGGGCGCGGGTCAAACAGCAGATTGCCTTGGTAAGCTCATCTTTTTCTCTCCATGTTTTCTTTGGCTACTTCAGTCAGTGAATTTTAACATCTCCTCTGCACAGAGTTTTCACATGAAAAGCCCTCCTGTGACTCCAGTGACTTGCTGATTGGTAGCTTTAAATTGCAATAAAAATTAAAGCTGCGAGCAGCGTTGAGCGGGACCTCACACTCCACGCAACTCGGGGCGTGCTGCGGCCGCGTCTCGTGCCGTCGTTACACATGCCGACCAAAACATGAAATTTCACATAAATCGGCTCAAAATCGCCACGCAGCGCTTACTTCCTGTTGCCAGTAGGTGGCGCTATCACTATGTCTGAATATTGTCATGTAGAGTTTCATTGAGATTGGATCATGTACACTGAAGTTGTGATGACGTGTTCAGGGTGGGACTGTATACTGAAGATATGAGTAGTGAGACAAGTTCAGGGCGGGACTGTTATAACACACGTGAAGTTTCATTGAGATTGGACCACGTACGCTGAAGTTATGAGGACGTGTTCAGGTCAAAACTGTTTAAGAATATATTAAGTTTATTGGAGATTGGACACTGCACACTGAAGTTATGAGCACTATTTTATGGCGAATCAGCTGAAATGGACAAGTTGTCACTGGCACACAGTTTAATGTACAGTCACAGCTCAACTTTTCAATCAGTTTGTATGGCGACAGAATTCAAAGTGGCCAACTTTGACCTCGGGCCACAGACTTGCCGTTCAACGTACAGTCTCAAATAGTCCATCCACAGGAAGTGCTAATTTTATAACGTGCCTATTTTTTGAAATATCAAAATTCTTTCAATTACTTTATTATCAGGACGGACCCCAGATGCTACGTGAAAAATTTTGTGCGAATCGGACAAAGCAAGTAGGAGTAACACGAAAAAGTAGTTTATGGACATTTTGCGCTCTAGAAAAAAAAAGTCTAGGCGGAAATGGGCGTGGCCTATGTGGAGAGATTCAGCTCCATTCACCGAACGCGTGGATATAAGTTTTTTGGATGTGCGACAATGATGTGGGAGTTATTAGCTTAAGAAAAATTTCTTGACAATAGCGCCACCTAGTGGCCAATCCAAAATTGATGCATAGAATATCGAATTTTTCGCCAAGCCTGACATGTGTGCCGTGTTTCATGAGTTTTTGAGCATGTTGCGGGGGCCAAATATGAGGTCGTAGGGGCAGAAAAATAATAATTAAAGCTGCAAGCAGCGTTGGACGGGATCTCGCACCCGGCGCATGTCGGGGTGCGCTGCGGCCACGTCACGTGCCGTCGTAACAAGTGCATACCACAACATGAAAATGTCACGTAAATCAGCTCGAAATCGCCACGCAGCACTTACTTCCTGTTGCCACTAGGTGCCGCTATCACTATGTGTTCAGGGCGGGACTCTTATCAGACATGTGAAGTTTCGTTGCTGTCGGATCATGTACGCAGAAGTTGAATAATGATTAATCCCTCTTTTTATGCCGAAGGATTGAAATTGCACGACATGGGACGCCACGCCACATCCAAGATGTTCAACGAAAACAACTGGGGAGCACAACTTTTAATGGTGAATGTGTTTAGATAGCTGTGTCCAAATCTGAAATCGGTCCAATAAATTCCCTAGGAGGAGTTCGTTCAAATACAACGTGTGCAAATGGCCACAAAATCCAAAATGGCCGACTTCCTGTTGGGTTTGAGGTATGGGTCCAAGAGACTTTTTTGCTTCTTTTATCATGATACACATGCGTATCAATTTTCATACCTGTCAGTCATACGTGTCTTGGGGGCTGACTCTGGGGGGCGTGGCTAAGCCATTTTGCGACCCCCATCCACAGGACCAAGACAATACCTCAGCGTTCGGAACCACCGAATGCTGTGCAAAGTTTCATGAGTTTTCAGGCATGTTTAGTCCCCCTGAAAGTGTGAATTTTTGGGATTTTTGCTGCGTCGCCATGGCAACATGGTTCCATACAAATTCTTAAGATTCATAATATGTGATCCTCATCCTCCTAAGGAACTTCTCACGTAATTTCAGCTGGATCTGGTCAATATGCTTGAAGATATAAATAAAAGTACAAAAAATACATTTCCTTTCACCACTAGGTAGCGCTCTCACTATTACTGAATATTATCACATAGAAGTGTTCAAGGCGGTACTCTTATCAGGCAAGTGAAGTTTGGAGCCGATTGGACTATCTACACTCAAGTTATAGCAACTTTGTGTGTTCTGGTGGTACATCAAAGTTTGACACTACGCCACGGACACGCCCTTTAATAAGAACTCACCACAATCAAGAAATAACATTAATAACATGTTTTGCATTTCCTGACTAGATTTCAGCTTGATCTGATCATCCTACTAGGAGTAGAACATGGAAGTATAAAAAAATACATTTTCTTTCACCACTAGGTGGCGCTCTCACTATTGCTGAATATTATCACATAGGCATGTTCAGGGCAGGACTCTTATCAGACAAGTGAAGTTTGGAGCCGATTGGACAATGTACACTCAAGTTATAGCAAATTCGTGTTTTGTGGCGATACATCAAAATTTTCCGACACGCCCCCTCACCGCAGTCATCACATATCATCAACAATGTGTTTTGCATTTTATAAGTACATTTCTGGATCTGATCATCCTGCTAGGAGTAGAACATGAAAGTATAAAACGTGATACTTCCTGTTGCCACTAGGTGGCGCTCTGACTATTACTGAATATTATCATATAGACGTGTTCAGGGCGGGACTCTTTTCGAACATGTGAAGTTTTGTTGCAGTCGGATCATGTACGCAGAAGTTATGATTAATCCCTCTTTCATGTCGAAGGTTTGAAATTGCACGACGCGGGACGCCACACCACATCCACGATGTTTGACGGAATAACGTGAATAGCACAACTTTTAATACTGAATGTGTTTAGATGGCTGTGTCCAAATCTGAAGTTGGTCCGATAAATGCCCTTGGAGGAGTTCGTTCAAATACAACGTAAATCGCCAAAAATGGCCACAAAATCCAAAACGGCGGACTTCCTGTTGGGTTTGAGGTATGGGTCCTTGAGACTTTTCTGCTTCTTTTATCATGATACACATGCGTAGCAATTTTCGTACATGTCGGCCTTACGTGTCTTGGGGGCTGATTCTGGGGGGTGTGGCTTCGCCGTTTGGCGGCGCCCATGCACGGGGACAATGTCATATCGGTATTTTCGCTACGTTTGAATTTTGTGCAAATTTTCATGACTTTTTGAGCATGTTGCGGGGGTCAAATATGCGTTAGAAGGGGCAAAAAATAATAATTCCTAGAGGAACAATAGGGTCTTGCACTTTCAGTGCTCGATCCCTAATTAAAGCTGCAAGCAGCGTTGAACGGGATCTCGTAACCGGCGAGCGCCGGGGTGTGCTGCGGCCGCGTCACATGCCGTTGGGGTGTGCTTCGGCCACGTCACGTGCATGAAAATGTCACGTAAATCAGCTCAAAATCGCCACGCAGCACTTCCTTCCTGTTGCCACTAGGTGGCGCTATCACTTTGTGTTCAGGGCGGGACTCTTATCAGATGTGAAGATTCGTTGCAACCCCCAACATGAAAATTTCACTTAAATCAGCTAAAAAACCCCACGCCGTGCTTACTAACTGTTGCAAGTAGGTGGTGCGATCACTATGTCTGAATATTGTCATGTCGAGTTTCATTGAGATTGGATCATGTACGCTGAAGTTGTGAGGACATGTTCAGGGTGGGACTGTATACTGAAGATATGAGTACTATCTGTTTGATGGCCAATGGGTGGAATTTGCCACGTCGTCACGGACACACGTGGTTAAACTTACAGTTACAAATAGCACAACTTTTGATCGCCAATGTGTGTAGATTGCAATGATCAAATTTGAAGTCAATCTGATAAAATCTGTAGGAGGAGTTAATCATAACAGAAGCCCTTAAATGCTGGAAATGGCATAACAGTTTGACATTCGATTCAACCTGGCCAACTTTGAGGGCACGCCACGGACACGCCCTTTAAAGTAGAGTCTCAAATGGCACAACGTTTAATCAGCACCATTTTTTGACTGTACTGACCAATTTTGAAGTACATCGGATAAATTCCTTAGGAGGACTTCGTTCAAATACAACACCAAGAATTACAGAAAATGACCAAAAAAACCAAAATGGCCAACTTTGACGGCACGCCACAGACACGCCCTTCAACGTACATGCACAAATAGCACAACCTTTAATCAAAACCATCTTTTTACTGTACTCACAAATGTTGAAGCATATACGATAAATTCCCTAGGAGGAGTTCGTTCAAATACAAGGCAAAAAGTTTGCTGAAATTGAAAATTGAAATCAAAATGGCCGACTTCCTGTGGGATTTGGGGTATGGGTCCAAGAGGCTTTTTTGTGCGTCCCGGCAATTTAAACGTGCCTACCGAGTTTCGTACATATCTGTGAAACGTGGTGCCGGGGCTGCTTTTTTAAAATCCTGTAGGGGGCGCTACAAACACGACAAACAGGATTTTTGGTATGTGAGCTACAGGCACACCTCTACATGAAATGGGCGTGGTCTATATGGGGAGATTCAGCTCCATTCACCGAACGCGTGGATATAAACGCACTTTTCATGATAGTAGCGCCACCTAGTGGTCAACCCAAAATTGACGCATAGAATATCGAATTTTTGGCCAAGCTTGACATGTGTGCCGCGTGTCATGAGTTTGACAGCACGGGTAAGCCTCCAAATATGTGTTTCTAGGGTCATAAAAATAATAATAATAATTCCTACAGGAATAATAGGGTCTTGCACTTTCAGTGCTCGATCCCTAATAATAATAATTCCTAGAAGAACAAAAGGGTCCTTGCACTTTTGAGTGCTCGGTCCCTAATTAAAGCTGCAAGCAGCGATGGATGGGACCTCGCACTCCACGCAACTCGGGGCATGCTGCGGCCGCGTCACGTGCCATCGTAACACGTGCGGACCACGACATGAAAATCTGATGTAAATCAGCTCAAAATCGCCACGCAGCACTTACTTCCTGTTGCCACTAGGTGGCGCTATCACTATGTGTTCAGGGCGGGACTCTTATCAGACATGTGAAGTTTGGAGCCGATTGGACAATGTACACTCAAGTTATAGCAACTTTGTGTGTTCTGGCGGTACATCAAAGTTTGACGCCACACCACGGACACGCCCTGTAACAAAAACTCACCACAATCAAGAAATATCATCAAGAACATGTTTTCCATTTTCTGAATGGATTTCAGCTTGATCTGATCATCCTACTAGGAGTAGAACATGGAAGTATAAAAAAAAATGACATTTCCTTTCACCACTAGGTGGCGCTCTGACTTTTACTGAATATTATCACATAGACGTGTTCAGGGCGGGACTCTTATCAGACATGTGAAGATTGGAGCCGATTGGACTATGTACACTCAAGTTATAGTAACTTTGTGTGTTCTGGCGGTACACAAAAGTTTGACGCCACGCTACAGACACGCCCCCTCACCGCAGTCATCAAATATAATCAGCAATGTGTTTTACATTTTATAAGTAAATTTCAGCTGGGTCTGATCATCCTGCTAGGAGTAGAACGTGAAAGTATAAAACGTGATACTTCCTGTTGCCACTAGGTGGCGCTCTGACTATTACTGAATATTATCACATAGACGTGTTCAGGGCGGGACTCTTATCAAACATGTGAAGTTTCGTTGCAGTCGGATCATGTACGCAGAAGTTATGATGAACCCCTCTTTCATGGCGAAGGTTTGAAATTGGATGCCACGGGACGCCACGGAATGTTGGACGAAAAAAACTGACTGCACTGACCAGTTTTTAAGTAGATCCAATAGAACCTGTAGGAGGAGTTAGTTAAAATAGAAGCCCTGAAATGCCAAAAATGACATCACAGTATGACATTCATTCAAAATGGCCAACTTTGACGGCACGCCACGGACACGCCCTTCAACGTACAGTCATAAATAGCACAACTTGTAATCAGCAACATTATTCAAGAGTACTGTCAAGTTTTGAAGCAGATCTGATAAATTCCCTTGGAGTTTGTTTGTTCAAATACAAGACCACGGACTTCAAAATGGCCAAATTTGACGGCACGCCACGGACACGCCCTTCAACGTACAGTCAGAAAATGAACAGCGTTCATTCAGAATCATGTTTTGACTGCACTGACCAATTTTGAAGTAGATCCAATAAAACCTGTAGGAGGAGTTAGTAAAAATAGAAGCCCTGAAATGCCAAAAATGTCATCACAGTGTGACATTCGTTTAAAATGGCCAACTTTGACGGCACGCCACAGACACGCCCTTCAACGTACAGTGAAAAAATGAACAGCGTTCATTCAGCACCATTTTGTGACTGTACTGACCAATTTTGAAGCAGATCCCAGAAATTCCCTAGGACTACTTCGTTCAAATGCAAGGCGAAAATTCACCAAAAATGACCACGGACTTAAAAATGGCCAACTTTGACGGCACACCACGGACACGCCCTTCAACGTACAGTTACAAATTGAATAGCGTTCATTCAGCACCATGTTTTGACTGTACTGACCAATTTTGAAGTAGATCCGATAAATTCCCTAGGAGGAGTTCGTTCAAATACAAGCCCAAAAAGTCAAAATGACCACAAAATGATGCAAATTAAAAATTGAAATTGCAGACTTCCTGTGGGTTTTGGGGCATGGGTCCAAGAGGCTTTTCTGCTTCTTTTATCATGATACACATGCTTAGCAATTTTCAATTTACATGTGGGCCTTACGTGTCTTGGGGGCTGATTCTGGGGGGCGTGGCTTAGACGTTTGGCGGCGCCTGTGCACGGGGACAATGTCATATTAGTATTTTTGCTACGTTTGAATTTTGTGCAAATTTTCATGCCATTTTGAGCATGTTGCGGGGGCCAAATATGCGGTTGAAGTCCCAGAGGTATAATAATAATTCCTAGAGGAACAATAGGGTCCTTGCACTTGTTAGCGCTCGGTCCCTAATAATTCCTAGAAGAACAAAAGGGTCCTTGCACTTTTTAGTGCTCGGTCCCTAATTATACTCTTTAATCAATGTACCAAAAATGTATTCAAACAATTTATACACTCTTTTTAGTGCAAATGTAATAAGATGCAACACAGCTCGCCATACCTGTCTCGCGTTGACTGACTCGCTTGTGTTGTTCGTTGTGTGTCAGACTATGCGTGCTTTCGAACACCCGCCCAACTCGACCTCTGATTGGCTTACCATGAAATATTACTCAACCTCAGCCAATCGTCAGCATTTATGCGCTTGTCTCGTGCACTGCCCACTCACCAAGGAAGAACAGTAAAAAAAAGTCTTTGCCTCTCAGCTCAGAGATCTAGTTGGTCTGATGAAAAAAACTGCTTCAATTATAGTTATGCGCCGCATTTTTTGGCAGTAACGGTATCGGCGTTACTAAGATGGGAAGAGTAATCAATTAGATTAATTGTTACTGAAAAAAGTAACGCCGTTATTTATAACGCTGTTATTCCCATCACTGGTAATAATAATGTAATAATAATATCATTTTGTTATGTTCATACACTGATGTCAGTGGCTGCCATGTAAGGTGCCAACTGCTCACCGGAACAGAAACTAATCATTCATACACACTCATACACCGATGCACAGCATCGGGAGCAAGAGGACATGCAGCAAGAAGAGCTGGGGATCGAACCACCAACTTTCCGATGAGTGGATGACCCGCTCTACCTCTGAGCCACAGCCACCCATGTTTTGTCTTGTACAGTATGTTTGTCATGTTTGGTATCTTAATTTCGGGGGAGATCTGCTGTAAAGACATATGTCTTGACCTGTCCTGCTACCAGTCTTGAAAAAGTGTTTTTCTGCAAAGTGATCTGAGTATGACATGAGCCTGTTGTAGGATGGAGTTGCTGTTGTAGAGACATGAATTTGAACATGAGCTATTAATAATTTTTCATCCTGCCTTTATTATCTATAGTCTTGTCTGCAACCAGCTATTTGAAACCCAGCTTTTATTTGACAATTCACAATGTTCTCAGCAAAGCGAGGTATCAAAAATATAGTTGGAAATATAGTGTCGGTTCTAAATGTCAGACATTATTAAATGATGCATGGCTCAACACAAAACATACTTATGATTTCAACCTCTTCTTAGACATGCCTGAATAGATTCACGTGAGATTACCAGCTTGAACTTTTTACCTGTATGAAACAATGCAGACATATCATACATATTAACATTGTTACACCTTTGTCTGCTCTGTCCTGCAGGACCGAGCTGACAGAGCAGCCCGCTATGCCAAAACCCAGGAGGAAGAGAAGGCTGCCAAGCAGGCCCTACTGCACGCCAGACAGGCAGAGCAGGAGGTCAGGAAGGAGGCATTACTCAGGGAGAGGAGGTAAAAGGTTAATGCCAATCAAGAAGTGCTATGACAAATTGAAGTGTGTGCAAAATAATGCTATAAAAAAACACCATAGACAATTTGACATATCAAGAAAACTGTAACTAGAGAACGCTAAACACATCTGCTCACTGATGTTTTGCTGATGAAATCAGTGTTTCCTCTATGTTGATTTTGGAGCGGCGGCCAGCCACTGTTAAATTTCTGCCACCACGGTATCCGAAATGGGGCAGACGCACAATGTAGTCACGGTTGCCTTTTAAATGATCCTGCCGACATAATGCACCCCCATTGGCTGCCGCTCACATTGCAATTTAACAACAAGTAGAACTATTCAGAGGTTATTAGGGCTTTCCAGTTTAACTCCACATACTGTTGAGTTGATGTAGCTTATTGTCAAAACGTTCGCTTTCTTCCAAGTCGACTATTAAACTAACAGCTCTACCAAAAACGTTCAACTTATCAGTTCTCAGCTCAACGTCCTGATATCAAACACCTGGAAACATTAAAAAGGTATATATATTTGTTTGTGTTGCAGCAAAGTGTCAGTTCTGTTTCATACGTAAAACATTTGCAGACCGGGGGGGGGGTTTGAAAGGCCTGCCCCCACTGCTAAAAAAAAATCCTAGAGGAAACACTGGAAATATTTACAAATTAAATACTGAAACAATTAAAATTAGTCTAAATAAAAAATACTGAAGGTAATATACAATTATGTTAAAATCTGAGAAGGTCTGAACCATAAAAGACCATATAACTATGATTAAAGAAAAAATGAATGAAATGGGCGGCTCGTCCACTAATCGGAGGTTGTCGGTTCCCGGTTCCCAGCTCCTCCCACTGCACGTTGAAGTATCCTTGAGCAAGATACTGAACCCCAAATTGCTCCCAATGCTGTGTCATCGGTGTATGAATGGGCATGAATGAGTTAGTTTCTGTTTGATGGACTTTGCTATGTGAATGTGTGTGAAAGGGCAAATGTCACATGTAGTGTAAAAGCACTTTGAGTGGGCGAAAAGACGCTATAAAAGTACAGGTCCATTCACCATTTAAGGATGCTTTAACCTGTAACCTGTTAAATCAAACAAAAAAAACCAAACAATGTATATACAGTTATTTATATACATATACATGTAAACACATTTCTGCATGTCTAAATTATCTAAAACCGTAGATCTGGATTGGCAACTATATAATTTGGCAGTATGTTTAACATACAATTAAACAATAAGACCAGACTAGCTATAAACAATGTCTTTTTCCACAAATCAATATCATGATTTGCACTAACAAATGATGGGGCATGTGTAATTGTCAGCCACAGCCTGAAGTAGTGAGTTGAATAATAAATTGGATGCGAGATGCTCGCTTATACAAAGTATCAGGCAGTTCTAGGGCTGTCCCCGACAAATATTTCCCTAGTCGACTAGTAGTTCAAGCAAATATTTGACTACCGTATTTTCCGCACTATAAGGCGCACTTAAAAGCCTTTAATTTTCTCAAAAAACGACAGTGCGCCTTATAATCCGGAGCGCCTTATATATGGATTAATTCTGGTTGTTATGGCTACCGTAGTCAGGAGCGTTGTGGAGTAATACACGTGCTTCACCATAATATTACAGTGTGTGTGTATAAAGACCCCAAAATGGCACCTGTCAAGAGACACGCTTACGACGCGGACTTCAAACTCAAGGCTATCAGTCACGCGTAGAACATGGGAATAGAGCAACTGCGAGAGAATTCAACATTAATGAATCAATGGTACGGAACAACTGAACAAGGTTGGGAGTTATTGTGAATACGCTCATTAACATTTGAACAATGTTGAGAGTTATTGTGAACGTATTTAATAAAGTTTGACTGACTGACTTATCTGACTGTTTTGTTTCGCTTAATGCGCCTTATAGTCCGGTGCGCTTTATATATGAAAAAAGTTCGAAAATAGACCATTCATAATCAAGTGCGCCCTAAAGTGCGGAAAATACGGTAGTCGTTGAAAGCTGATATGATATTAATTTAATTATTGAAATATATATATTTTAATCATTGTGGCCTTTTACATGATAACGGAAAAAGTGGTAATGATTCTGAATGTGTCAGAACAACCAAGCGAGAGACTGTCGGAGTGAGAGAGAGGGAGACTGAACATTTATCTGCAGACAATCAGAATCGCATCAGTAATAATGCCTAATATTGCCATACTGGAAGCTTCTTGCTTGTCTTGTCCCTACCTGTTTGTCATCATCATTATTAATATGGTCGATTTGTATTCAAATAATATTAATAATGCTGATATTGAGTTTTGTGAGCTGTTTGTGACTCCAGAGAACACACACTGGTATACGTGTGTATAATGTATTTATTTATTTACCAGGGAAAATTCAATTCTTTTTTTTTTTTTTTTCAATTCTTTTTTCAGCGCCAATTCATAACAGAAGTTATCTCAGGACACTTTTCAAATAGAGCAGGTCTAGACCGAACTCTTTAAAACATTAATTACAGAGACCCAACAGTACCACCATGAGCAAGCACTTGGCGACAAGGGCAAGGAAAAACTGCCTGTTAAAAGGCAGAAACCTAGTACAGATCCTTCGGCTCTAGGTGGGTGGTCGTCTGTCTCGACCAGTTGGGGTGAGAGAGAGAGAGAGAGAGAGAGAGAGAGACAGACAGACAGAGAGAGAGACAGACAGAGAGAGAGACAGACAGACAGAGAGAAGACAGACAGACAGAGACAGAGACAGACGGACGGAGACAGAGACAGACAGACGGACGGAGACAGAGAGAGATGCACAGCAACAACAGTATTGGCAATGGCAGTCTAGCAGGACCATGGCAGGAGGCTCCACCAGGATCGATAAGAACCTGCGAGACGAGAAAGCACAAGAACTCCGGGGAAGAAGTGAAGTGCATAATGTGCATTAATTCGACCCAAAAGCCTATCTATCTATCTAATCAACATTGTAGTTGACATTACGCTTAAATGTAAATATGCTACAAAACAGTACAATACATAAATGCATAACAAAAGTGACAGAAATATAAAAATTAGATCAAGTAAGTGGTCAGGTTACTCAAGACTGCAAGTTTGGTTTACCTAGAGTCATGTCTTAAGTTCTTTAAAAGTTATTCATTATTTATATCAAGTATTACAAATAATTAGTGCACTAGTGTATCTTAGTGCAGTAGGTGGACTATTCCAGAAGTGTAGCAATTTGATTTCCTCATTCTGAAGTTTAAATTAAGTTGTGTAAGTATGTAACATAGTCAAACATACAACAAAATTAACAAAATTGAAAAAATTTAATAGAGCCATCATTCATGTGATCCGGTACAACAGAGCTTTTCCTGCTTAAGCAACTCAAAATATATGCTGTAAAAAAAGGTCTTTCCACACAGTTTTTGTGCAAGTCTGTATATTGTTGTTTAGGAAGCCTTCTAAACTGTTGTAGTAACTAATTTAGTAGTAATGTTGTTAATGTCTTTAACAGTATATAAAAACTTACTCTAACCCTAACGTGTGTGTGTGTGTGTGTGTGTGTGTGTGTGTGTGTGTGTGTGTGTGTGTGTGTGTGTGTGTGTGTGTGTGTGTGTGTGTGTGTGTGTGTGTTCAGTACCATAGCAAGGATACAGTTCCGCCTCCCAGACGGCTCATCCTTCACCAACCAGTTCACCTCACAGAGCAGACTGCAGGAGGCTCGGAATTTTGCTGCTCAGGTCTGTCTGATTAATGCACTCCCATGCTCTTATAGTTAATGTTAGACTTTTTTCCTCAGGATTTGAAAACCATAACATCAAGCAATGGACCACTCTTTTCTCTTGAAAGAAGCTAGATTTTTAAACACGTTACAGGAGACAATTATTCATAATGCCATTTTCTGATTAAATCAGTCAGACGATACTTTTTAAAAGTACACTACCTTAGGCGACGGTTAGCTGAGACAGTAGAGCTGGCGACCCATGTACCAAGGCTGAGTCCTTGCTGCAGCGGCCCAGGGTTTCGAATCTGACCTGCGGCCCTTTGCTGCGTGTGATCCCCAGTCTCTCTACCCCCCCTTTCCTTTCTATCTTCAGCTGTACCTATCAAATGAAGGCAATAACAAGGCAAAAAAAAAAGAAAAGTACACTACCTTTGAGGTGATCCCAAGATTCCAGTATGTTCTCTTACCAATATAATGATCCCTGGAAAGTAAAGTACTAAAACTCAGGAAAGGTCCTTGTAGTGACACAAACTGAATCCACACCATAAATGAAATAACCACACCAAATAAAATATGAGCATAAACCAAACTATGCATTATTTAATACCTTTACTAGTGGAGTGGAGACAAACAATATTCATGGACAGTTTTTTTTTATCCACAGTTGCAGGAATGTGAGATGAGCACTTCTCTAAATAAGTAGTGATTATCTTAGTACCATGACCCAAGAGTGGCTTAACTGAAATATATTTACTCTACACTCTCCTGGTAAATGGGTGAAACACTGTTAAAAAGGCACAGTGTGGATGGTGTGGAACTGCCTGCAAGGATTACATTGTAGCCTGTTTAGCCTGTTTCACAGCTGTAGAGCTGTCACTTAATATTGGACCAAATTCAAAACACAAAACTAAAAAATACTGAAGTTACCCTTTAATTTCAAGCAAACATCATCAGATCCAGGAATGAAGTACTTAATGTGAAATGAGATGCTTAAATGAAGTCATGGTGACAGCAGAAAGTGAATTTTAACTAGGTGAAATGTGAACAATGTAATTCACCAATCACCAAATTTAAGGTAATGTTAGTTTCTGCTGCCAAAATGGAGAGGAGACATGCTATCAAGGGAGCTAATTAACGGTCTGTAAACATTTTTCTGATAAAAGACAACTGGGGGTTTGGTTTTTATTTCCAGTTATCATCACAAAGTCTCCTTTTGTTATTTTGAACTAGTGTTGAAATAAGAGTGTAAAAACCATCAACAGTGTCAGGAATCCTATTAGGAATCAATAAATATTTATGCATTTAAAATGCAGCTTTTGGTAAACTGTCCCTCCTATTTGTTAGAATCTCTGTTTTAAAATCAGAGTGACAAAGTGATTATGGTAAATGGATGGTAAATGGACCTGTACTTGTATAGCGCCTTTCTCGTCTTCCAACCACTCAAAGCACTTTTACACTGCGTGCCACATTCACCCTTTCACACACATTGACTCAGTGATGGGAAAGTCCATCAAACAGAAACTAATGCATTCATACACATTCACACACTGATGCACGGCATTGGGAGCAATTTGGGGTTCAGCATCTTGCTCAAGGATATTCAACATGTGGCGGGAGGAGCCGGGGATCGAACCAACAACCTTCCGATTAATGGACGACCCGCTCTGCCTCCGAGCCACAGCCGCCCCTATATACATATTTATTTTAAAAAAAGTATCTATTGCTCTGTATTTCTCAGCACATTTGTCCCAGTTAGATAGATAGATAGATAGATAGATAGATAGATAGATAGATAGATAGATAGATAGATAGATAGATAGATAGCAGGGGCGGTCCTAGACCATTTGATGTCCTAGACCATTTGGTGCCCTAAGCAAGCTTTACTGATAGTGCCCCATCCCCATGAGAAAAGAATTCATGTCCAAAGAATTGCACATTTATTTAAACAATGATAATACAAACAGTATAACAATATGTGCGAAAGAATAAACGTGTTCAATAATAAATATACAAAAAATAAACTTTTAAACATATTTTTAACAGTAGTGCAACGTCTGAGAACAAAAAGTGCACACTAAAGAATCAAAACAAAAAATTAAACTAACAAAACGTGTGCAAAATTAGACACTGTAAAATGTGATTCATATAACCTATTAATCAAAATATAATATACAAAATAAAGCTGCAAGCAGCGTTGAGCGGGACCTCGCACTCCACGCAACTCGGGGCATGCTGCGGCCGAAGTTATGCGTGCTGTTTTATGGCGAATCCGCTGAATTCGACAAGTCGTCACCGGCACGGTCATTTCACGTAACTCAGCTCAAAATCGCCCCGCAGCGCTTACTTCCTATTGCCAGTAGGTGGCGCTGTCACTATGTCTGAATATTGTCATGTAGACGTGTTCAGGGTGGGACTGTTATCAAACACGTGAAGTTTCATTGAGATTGGATCATGTACGCTGAAGTTATGAGGACGTGTTCAGGGTGGGACTGTACACTGAAGATATGAGTACTATCTGTTTGATGGCCAATCGGTGGAATTCGACACGTCGTCACGGGCACACGGTTAAACATACAGTCACAAATAGCACAAGTTTTGATAACCAATGTGTGTAGATTGAAGTGATCGAATTTGAAGTCAATCTGATAAAATCTGTAGGAGGAGTTAGTTAAAACAGAAGCCCTTAAGAAATAGACAGTGATCGGGCCTTGGCCCCCCTTTTTTTTTTTTTTTTAAAAAATAAAAATTTTTTTTTTTATTTTTTTTTTTTTTTTTTTTTATTTTTTTTAATTTTTTTTTAAATTTTTTTTTTTTTTTTTTTTAATTCCAACACAAAAAATGCTGAAAATCATGCCAAAGAAATGGCATCACAGTTTGACATTTGATTCAACCTGGCCAACTTTGAGGGCACGCCATGGACACGCCCTTTAATGTACATGCACAAATAGCACAACTTTTAATCAGCACCATTTTTTGACTGTACTTACCAATTTTGAAGCAGATCCGATAAATTCCCTAGGAGGAGTTCGTTCAAATACAACGCGAAAAGTCACAGAAAATTATCAAAAAAATCAAAATGGCTGACTTTGATGCCACGCCACGGACACGCCCTTTAATGTACATGCACAAATAGCACAACTTTTTATCAGCACAATTTTTTGACTGTACTGACCAATTTTGAAGTAGATCGGATAAATTCCCTAGGAGGAGTTCGTTCAAATACAAGGCGAAAAATTCACCGAAAATGCGCACGGAATTCACTATGGCCAACTTTGAGGGCACGCCACGGACACGCCCTTCAACGTACATGCACAAATAGCACAACTTTTAATCAGCACCATTTTTTGACTGTACTCACAAATATTGAAGCAGATCCGATAAAATCCCTAGGAGGAGTTTGTTCAAATACAACGCGAAAAATCACAGAAAATTATCAAAAAAATCAAAATGGCTGACTTTGATGCCACGCCATGGACACGCCCTTTAATGTACATGCACAAATAGCACAACTTTTTATCAGCACCATTTTTTGACTGTACTGACCAATTTTGAAGTAGATCCGATAAATTCCCTAGGAGGAGTTCGTTCAAATACAAGGCGAAAAATTCACAGAAAATGCGCAAGGAATTCACTACGGCCAACTTTGAAGGCACGCCACGGACACGCCCTTCAACGTACATGCACAAATAGCACAACTTTTAATCAGAACCATCTTTTGAGTTTCGTACATATCGGTGAAATGTGGCGCCGGGGCTTTGATACCTTTTTTGTGTATGTACGACAAAAGCTGCGGGAGGAGTAGCACGCCGAAAAAACGTACGGAAGAATAATAATAAGTTTAACTAGAAAATTCCTAAAGAAATTTTGATTGTGCCTTGCTCTGGCCCATATGTTAATACCATGTCTTGCTCTCTAGCACGCTAGCGCTAGCATATTAATACCATGTCATTCTCTTTAGCTAGAGCTATACATATGTATGTATGTATGTATGTATATATATATATATATATATATATATATATATATATAAAAAAAAAAAAAAAAAAAGAACTGTTAGAACTGTTAGGTTAGGTTTGTCAGTTAGGTTCTGTAGGAAACTCTGTCTCTCAATCTCCCACGCCTCTCTCTCTCTATTTTCTCTAAACCCAAATGGTTGAGGCAACCAGATGGACCCACTTAGAGCTGGGGTCTAGGGTTTTCTACCTCAAGTATATCCAGTGATGTGATTGGTCAGTAGTTGGGCCGTTGATCCTCAGCAACAAAGATTATTGTGTACACTGGTTAAAAGTGAGCCTGCTTCATAATATATCCTGATAAAAACCCCAAATATAGCTGGATAACCCATTACCTCACTTTGTGATATAGGACCCTAGTGTTGTAGAATCTCAGGAGTCTCTGGACTAAACTGTGACTTCTCAGTGATTCCCCGTCAGACACTGACATCTCTGAATAATGTGATTGTACCGTATGCTTTACAACATAGCATTGTTAATCCCTTGATGCAGAATCAGAAAATGTTTTGTCCTGGTCCTGTCTCAGGAAGTGGGAAACCGCTACGGTAACTTCTCCCTGGCCACTATGTTCCCTCGGCGGGAGTTTACCAGTGAAGACCTGGACAAGACTCTGCTGGAGCTGGAACTGGCTCCAAGTGCTTCCATCGTGGTTCTGCCGGTGAGTGAGGAAATTATATGTATGTCCTAAAATGTTAAACCATCCCTCATACATGCCTCTTGTGTCAACATTATTTCACTCTCAACAGTCAGGCAGACCAGCTAATGCCGTGGTCCAGTCCTCTGGTGGCAGTATCTGGGCAGTTTTGGGTACACTACTCTACCCTTTGCTGGCTGTGTGGAGATTCCTCAGCTCGTTCTTGTTTGCAACTCCACCCCCTCCTGGAGCAGCATCTAGAGGCCCCGCCCACCAGTCCAACTCTTACACCAACTCAGCGTCAGCCTCCGACAAAGCAAAGAGGTGGGCAGCAGAGTTAATTATAGTCTTTTATTGATGGCCAATATGGCCATACATTTTCCAGAATTCTGGCCACATAAAACATCCAATATGTTTAAATACTAGGTTAAAGAGGTACTCCATCCTAAAACTTGTTTCTTGAGCTATAAACTGTATTATATGACTGTACTGTGTTGAAACATATAACCCTAACCTAACCCACCAAACTGCAATCTTTACCATGATCCCTTGACACACACATATATTGGACAGTTAGCCTCTCTGAGCCGTTAGCTTAGCTACAACACAGCAGCTAGCTTAGCCACAACCCAAGTACCACACAGGAACTTTTACAAACAGTTGTAAATGTGCTTTTACTGAGTGATAAGGGTCTAGCGTTGTGTCTGTGTTACGAGGGCAGACACAGAGAGTCTGACAGCAGCTGCTCTGTGTGCTCTGGATCGACTCTTCAGCTGACAGTACTGGAAACATGGCTTTACCTACTGCCCCACCGGGACAACATGGCTTTTCACAAACCTTCTTACAGTCTTTAAAACTGGGGTGTTTCATCTGTTTACGCTTAAAGTCAGTGAAATGTTGTTTTAATGAAGACTTGGGCAGATATAGATGTTAATTGGAAACGGAGTGAGTAGCAAACTATTGTTACAATTCTGTGGATTTGCTAGAAAATGTGAGCACCGTAGGATTTACATGTGATTTATTTAGTTTTTTTGTTTGTTTGGAATGTGAAATATCTAGAAATGTAGTTTTGTTATAAAGTAGTGCTCACTTTAATCAATCAAGACCCTAGACCTAGGAATGCATGAGAATTATTGGGATGGATAAATTATCGGCTGATAATGGAAAATTTATATTGTTATAAATTATCGGGATAATTAAATTACAGCCGATTATTGGTTGATATTAATATTAATAATAATTTATTTAGAATTCTTATGCAAGATGATTGAAAGGCTTTATAGCCATGAAACTCAATGTTTGCAAAGTTTTTTAAATGAACTTCACTATATAAAAAAAGAACATGTGAAGAGTCAGACTAGACCAGAGCTATGAAATATTAAATCATCTATTTTTGTGTCTTAGCCTTTCCTACCCTTATTTGTGTACAAACTAAAGGTTATGAACTTTTTTTTAAAAATAAAAAAATGGGAAATTATCGTGTTATCATATCAGTCATCATATTCGCTGGGGGAAAAAAATCAATATTGTGCATTCCTATCTAGATCATACGAATCAATGTTACCAATTACGAGATATAAACGTATTTGTTGTTCCCCCTAGTGGCAGAATATCCTGCTGCTCATCCAGCAGGACCTAACATCCAAGTCATGTCCACCAAGTTTGGTTACAACAGCCGATTTTGGTTTATGACTGTTAATGTAAATTTTGTGAGAGCACCCCAGGAGCTTCATGGACTTGACAGCAGTTTTATACTTTTGGAGTACAATCTAGACCAGGGGTCGGCAATAAGCTTGCCATCAGGCCAATTTCTTTCTGGGCCATTTTTGGTGGGCCAGAACATAAGCAAAAGGTCATTTAAGAAATTAATTGATGGGGCGCCCGGTTAGCTCACCTGGTAGAGCTGGCGACCATGTACCGAGTCCTTGCTGCCCAGGGTTCGAATCCGACCTGCAGGTGTGTCATCCCCTCTCTCTACCCCCCTTCCTTCCTGTCTATCTTCAGCTGTCACTATCAGTTGAAAAAAAAAAAACATTTACACATTTCCTGATGTGTAAGCCACAGACTCTTGAATGAACTTCAGAACTTTTCAAAGTAAAAAAGAAAAAAGACAATAAAGCGTTGCTGCAAAAAATTCTCACACTTTCATTTTGTCATAAATCACTAAAGAGGAAGTGATTATGAGGTTAACTTGCTGTCATGATTGATATCTATTTCAGCAACAGCGGGCCAGACATTATTGCTGGCTGGTCAGTTTTGGCCCATTGGCCGCCTGTTGCCGACCACTGGTCTAGACCTACTCTATTAAAAACGTTTTCGGAGATAACTTGTTATGAATTGCAGCTATACAAATAAAATTATATTGAATAGGCTAAGATAATTTTTTTGATGAATTATGAACACATTTAATGCCTTTGTCTGTATGATGCGCTCAGTTAGGTGACTTTGACGCTGCAGTACATATGCTACTGCATACTACATTTGTATGCTACTAGTTTATGGGATTAATTCTCAGTAGTATATATTGTAATTCACTCACTGTGTCCTGCTATTTTCCTGTGTTTGTTCAGAGAAATTGCTCTTGAGAAGCGCCCCAAGGACTTCAAGAAAGATGGTAAAATCTGCAGGCTCAGGACTCAGGAGGACAGCGAAGACGACAACAACACCTGGAACGGGAACTCCACCCAGCAGATGTAGCTCAGTGATAGCAGCACTCCCTTCTTCTTGCTCTCCTGGTGTGATTAGTTCAGACTGACCAGTTCAAGGTTTCTGCTGCACTTTGGGATGATCCTTCTGTTTTCTTTTTCTCTTACTGTGTTCAAGGCCTACAGTATGCCCCTGCACCTCGCTTACATGGGTAGATTCAATTCTAATCAACCTTCGGGCTTAAGCTGAGTGTTTTTGTGTTGATGACTGATGATGATTTTGTCTCAATTCTGGGCTCACATTACAGCAGGTTTAAGATCCTAACAGATTGCAAAAGTTTACACCAGCATCCTCTCTTTTGTTTGTAGCTCATTGTTGAACATTCTCAAATCCATCAGACAGGTTTAAAATGACCTGAGTGCCTCTGATTATGTGTGGCACCAAAGTATTCAAAAAGAGCAAATAGAGAGTCAACAGCCTGAAGATGTAATCTGAGCTCAGCTTTACATTATGTTGTGGAGTCACTGCATTTTGGAAAGGTTTAACTTTGAAAAGTGAATGAGAGCTAATGACTCGTCTGGATTGTTACCCAACAGTGGAATTAAGATGTTTTTGTTTTAGATGTATAAAATATTTCATCAAACAGCTTTCAGCCACTGGCAAGAGGACATACGTCTGTAGCTGTTGGACTTCTCCCAAGGTGTTCCCACACACACACCTTGGTAGTATGTATTTCTACTAGTTGACAGTGGGTGACTACTGTAGTGCTCCTCATCCAAAAATGAAAATTAAAGCAGTCTGTTTTTCAAAAATAGATTGAATTGTGTCTTGGTCTTGTGTTAAGTCTTACCCAGGATTCCCACAGTCATGAAATTCCTGGACAATTTATTAAATTGAAACTTTTCCAGTCCTGGACATGGTTTGGAATTAACAAAGTCCTACAAGGACTTCAAAAGTCTTTTTGACACATTAAAATATTGCAGTTCAGAGGCTACGCCCTGTTTAAAAATGTGTTTCTTTTTCTGTATGCTGGACAGATTTGTTTACCCTCGCTTAAAAGGAATGATCATGTCAAGGCAGCATATGAGCATGTTGCATCAGCAAATTTGTCCAAATGGTAAATCGTAAATGGACCTGTACTTGTATAGCGCCTTTCTAGTCTTCCGACCACTCAAAGCGCTTTTACACTACGTGCCACATTCACCCTTTCACACACATTCACACAGCGATGGCAAAGCCCATCGAACAGAAACTAATGCATTCATACACATTCACACACCGATGCAGAGCATCGGGGGCAATTGGCTTCCAATTAGGGGACGACCTGCTCTGCCTCCATGCCGTAGCCGCCCAAATCATCACTACAAGATTTTTTTTTGTTTTGTTTTTTGGCCTTTTCATGGCTTTATTGGATAGGACAGCTGAAGATCGACAGGAAAGGTGGGTAGAGAGAGAGGGGATGACACACAGCAAAGGGCCGCAGGCCGGATTGAACCCGCAACTCCGTATATGGGTCGCCAGCTCTACCAACTTAGCTAACCGGGTGCCCCGCAAGATAGTTTAAACATGTTCTAGTCAGCTGCTTTGCCTGCAGGAATATTATGCACGGTTATGATTCTTTAGTCCATACTTTTATGTCCTTTGTCTGTGCTTTTTTATATATGGGCAACACATATACGCAATTATGATCTGCAGAGCCCAATGGGGGTAATAGTAAAAAGTTTGTGAGGGTATTTTATAAGGGAAACGTGGTTAAAATCGCCCATAAAGTCCCAATAAGTCCCTTTAGACCCTCCAACTGATCCAAAATGCTGCAGTTTGAGTGCTGACAGGAACCAGCAAAAGAAATTATATTTTTTTTGTGTTCGCTTCTCTGCACTGGCTCCCTGTAAAATTCAGAAGATAATTTAAAATCCTCCTCCTCTCTACAAAGTTCTTCATGGTCAGGCACCTTCATATCTTAAAGCTGCTTCCTATAGTCTCAGGTGCCAGCAAAGGCTGGGAACTGTTTGTATGTCTCTTTGTTTTGGCATACTGTGCTCTGTAGCACCTACCAGAGAGTAGGAGTTGGAAGGTTGTGTCCAGGGTGAGATGGATCTGCAGTGATGTTACCTGCCGTTTCCTGACTCTGGGCAGGTAAAGGTCCTGAATGGATGGCAGGTTGGCACCAATGATCATCTCTGCAGTCCTGACTGTCCTGACTGTTCCTGTTTGGTGGCTGATCCAAACCAGACAGTAATGGCTAGGTAAGCGCTAGCCTTAATGGATATTGTTTAATTGTATTGTGCTCTTAAAGGAGTGCTAATTTTATTTGCTTAGCCAATTGCTAGCTTGGTTATTGGACAGCTCATAGCAGAGTCAAGTATTAAAGGTGCATTGCTCTTGTTTTGTGTTGACACCATTCAGCTTTAAAGTGGTTGTAGATTTTAATGATTTGTAGCTCAACTGCAGTGTTTGAGGTTTTGTTTATTAAAATGTACATGATAAATAAATTACTATTGATAATCTAATTCAAATATTAAAATATTAAAATTATGTCTGGAAACAGTTAGAAACAATGTTACATATAAAGAGTGATGAGAAATAATTTGTCGATGTTATAATACCAATTGTTTAGGAACATAGGAATTCATGAAAAAGATTTGGTGGTGCTTAAAAATACCATGTTAATGAGGTCTCATGTTAGAAATAAGAACAGAACAGAATAACTTAATACTCTGCACTACTTGTGTAGGTTGTTTTTTTTTTAGCTACCAGAAAGAATGTAGAGGATCCAATGATGGCAAGCCCAGCCCAGAGTGAGTGTGGAGTGTCGGGGACGCGGTGAGGCCTGCAGCATGACCACTTGCAGAGGACATCGGAGTTGTTTGCCCATTCGGGATCAGATTAGAATACATACATAAACACTATTAACTCTACCTGGGTAGTGCCAGACTCAGTACACACAAATACAAGGATCAGGAACTGAACTTTGAACTCTGAACTCAATATGACACTCCTTAAAGGAGCAAAGGACTTTTTTATATTATAATAATAATATTTTTTATATTATTATTGAAAGGGCTCTATTTTATATTTTTATTTTCACTCCATGTAAATTGCTGTTGATATTGCTGGGTTGCCTGAGGCAATACTGTCAACTGTTTAATCTGTATACTAACTTGTCCTGAGTTATTAAAGGCAAACCACACCACTGACCTAGGTAGATGCTAGTTGCTCTACTACTTTTGTCATTGGCTTAGCACTAGGGGGCACTACATTACTGCTGTCTCTCTGTCTTGCTCTCTACTTAAATCATCTCTCATCTTAAATCATTCTGTAACTTATAATTTTTAGGGCTCCACGCAATGGTCAGATGTACACTAAGGTAGCGGTCATGGAATTCAAACTTTGTTGTGGTAATTTCACCAAGCAGCAGTTCTGTACCACCAGGCAGTTTTTTTTTTTTTTGCTTCTGTGGGGATGAATTTGTGATGGCACAATGCAACTCAAGAGCATGTAAGTAAAATTATCTTCTTAAGAGATGTCTACATGTCTAAGAATTTGTTCGCTGAAAAAGATGAATGTTAGTTTTCCTTAACTTTACCAAATTAGGTTATTTTCCAGAATGTTAACCAGGGAGTTGTCTTTGTCTAGAATTGTGTATGTAGTGTTGAACATTAGCTTGCTAACATTAACGTAACTTGAGGTTGCCAAAATGTTCAATTCAATTTTATTTGTATAGCGCCAATTCATAACAGAAGTTATCTCAGGACACTCTTCAAATAGAGCAGGTCTAGACCAAACTTGTTATAGCATTTACAGAGACCCAACAGTACCACCATGAGCAAGCACTTGGCGACAAGGGCAAGGAAAAACTGCCTGTTAAAAGGCAGAAACCTAGGACAGACCCTTCGGCTCAAGGTGGGTGGTCTTCTGCCTAGACCAGTTGGGGTGAGAGAGAGAGAGAGAGAGAGAGAGAGAGAGAGAGAGAGAGTGTTCCAAGAGTTCCAAGAGAGAAGGCTGCATGAAAAATGTGCTCCTGAATTCATCTCAAACATGGACCTACAGTGGGACATTTTGCAAAAACAACATAACATTTTCTTCAAAAAGGAAGGTAAATACTTTATCAGCAAAATAGACGAAAGAAAATACCATTTTTGGATATATTTTTTAAATGAAAACAACCAGCTGACTGTCAAAAGCTAACGTAGCTTGCAACTGTGTATCAACTGCTGTAAGCTACCACCTGCCACAGTGTAGAACATTTCTAAGGAAGAACCAGACTAAATAAGATAACAGAAGAGGTGTTTTATGAAGAGGAGGAGAAGAAAAGAACAAACCAAAAATCATAACATTAATAACTGTGTTTAAAGGCTAAAAAAGCTAGCAACAGTAAAGAGTTAGCCCACTAGTAAACAAACAAAGTGGTCGCCATGGAAACAGCCAAGCAGAGAACAGAGAGCAGGGAGGTTAAATACCCTGCTCTCTGTAAGAGTGCAGCAGCCAGGGAGAAGTTTAAGGAAAAGACACTTCAGGAGAACAAAGAAGTCTTGTTCACAGACTATGCACTACACAAAGAAGGGAGGAAGAAGAACAACCTCATAGAACTATGCAAGAAATATCCTTACATCTCCAGTGAGGGCATTGGTTCGGGAGGCCGATTGAAGATTTGTAAGGATAAACACATGAACAAGGATGACCCCCTAATCACCATCACCTACTACACAAAGGGAAAGGTGATGGTCCAAGGGGGCGAAGCAAACTTGAAATCCTTTGAAGTTTTCTCCCTGATCAAAGCTGAGGTGGACACCATGAGGTGCCAGTGATGATGCCCAACAGAGAACCCCACCACCTTGTCCATCTCTGCCCCTCCCACACCTGCCGGCTCCACAAACCAGCTGAAGGAGAGTATGGCCCTGCTGGAGCTGGACTTTGCTGAATTCAAAGAGCTGACCCAGGCCAGGCTGTCTGCCCCCCTAGACAACATTGTGCAGCAGCTCAAGAGAGACAACCAGGCCTCGACATCTGAGCTAAGAGGAAGTGTAGAGGCACTAAAACAGGAGAACAGTGTGCTCCGGGCTCAGTTAGCCAAAGTGAAGGAGGACGCTGAGAACAGAGAAAGGAACTTCACCAGGCAAGTCCGACACCTGACAGACCAACTCCCAACAGTCCCCACAAAGACAACTACAGAGACAGAGACACAGACTCTCCCTGCTAGTCTTTCAAACCCCTGCCTTGTCTCTGTCCCACCATCTCTGCTCTGCACCCTACCAACACCCACACAGCCAGCTCCCAACAGCCAACTCTGTCCATCCCAGCTGCCCTCCACTCAGCCTGAAGAACAAGCCCCACAAGTGGTCCTGCTGACTGACTCAAACGGGAAATTCCTGGACACCAACAAGCTTTTTCCTTCTAAGAAAGTGCTGTCTAAACGTTGCAGCACCACAGGCCAGGCAAGTAAGCTGTTGAGAAAGGAGACCCTCGGGAGCCCTCAATGCCTGGTGATCCACACAGGAACAAACGACCTGCACAACCTCCGAAGGGACACTGCTGAGGCAGTGAGGAAGATGGCGGAGCAGGCCACCAAGGAATTCCCTAACACCCACATCGTGATCTCCACCCTGCTGCCTAGGACAGACACCCCTCCTCACGTCATCCATGACATCAATATGGAGATCAGAAGAGGTTGTGCCACCTTACCCAACGTCCACCTGGCCCTCCATCCAACCATTGGCACCTGGGACCTCTACGATGGACTCCATCTACACAGAGAGAAGGTGAATATCTTTGCAAAGACCCTCAAAGCCCTTCCACCCTCTCTTCTACCATAAG